TAGGGGAGGGGGAGAGAGAGGAGGGGAGGGAGAGGGAGAATAGGGGAGGAGAGGAGAATAGGGAGGGAGAGAGGGAGAATAGGGGAGGGGGAGAGAGAGAGTAGGGGAAGTGAGAGAGAGAGTAGGGGAGGGGGAGAGAGGGAGAATAGGGGAGGAGTGGAGAGAGAGAGTAGGGGGAGGGGAGAGAGAGAGTAGGGGGAGGTGGGGAGGGAGAGGGAGGTGTGGAGAGAGAGAGGGGAGTGAGAGTAGAGGTGAGAGAGTAGGTGTGAGAAAGAGAGAGTATGTGGAGAGAGAGAGAATAAAGGAGGGAAAGAGAGTAGAGAGAGAGAGTAGGAGTGAGGGGAGAGACAGGGGTGAGGAGAGAAAGTAAGGAGAGGGGGAGAGGGAGAGTAGCTGAGGGAGACAAAGAGAGGAGAGTAAAGAGAGAAAGTAGGGTGAGGGGAGGTAGAGAGAGTAGAGAAGAGTGAGAGAGGGGAGGGAGAGTAAAGTGAGGGAGAGAGAGAGTAGGGGAGGGGGGAGAGAGAGAGGGAGGGAGAGTAGGGAGGGAGAGTGTGGGGAGGGAGGGAGAGGGAGTGAGAGAAAGAGAGAGCAGGGGAGAGTGGGATGAGGGAGAGTAGAGGAGCAGTGAGAGTAGAGGAGAGGGGAGGGAGGAGCAGGGGAGGTAGAGGGGAGGGAGAGAGAGAGTAGAGTAGGGGTGAGAGAGAGAGTAGGAGGTGAGGAGAGAGACAGAGAGTGTGTGGAGGTAGGGAAGGGAGGGGAGAGAGAGAGAAGTGGGGGAGAGAGAGTAGGGAGAGAAAGGGAGGGAGAGAGGGGAGGGAGAGAGTAGGGGAGTGTGGGGAGAGAGAGAGTAGGGGGAGAGTGGGGGGAGGGGAGAGTAGGGAGAGTGTGAGGGAGGGAGAGTAGGGGAGTGTGGAGAGAGAGAGAGAGTAGGGGAGGGAGGGAGGGAGAGAGAGGATGTGTGGGGAGGGGAGTAGGGGAAGAGAGGGAGGGGAGAGAAGGGGAGAGTGAGAGAGAGAGAGAGGGGAGTGTGTGGAGGAGAGAGAGAGAGGGCAGAGTAGGGGAGGGAGAGTAGGGAGATGGGAGGGAGAGTAGGGGAGTGAGGGAGGAGAGAGGGGAGGTGAGAGAGAGAGTAGGGCAGTGTGTGTGGAGGAGAGAGGGGAGGATCAGAGAGAGAGAGGGTGAGAAAGAGGAGGAGAGTTGGGAGAGGGAGAGAGAGAGAGGGGAGTGAGGGGAGAGAGAGGGAGGGGTAGGGTGTGAGAGAGAGAGTAAGGGAAGTGTGAGGGAGAGAAAGTAGGGGAGGGTGGAGAGAGAGAGGGAGGTGAGCGGAGAGAGAGAGAGGGGAGGAGAGGGAGGAGGGGAGGTGTGAGGAAAGGAGTAGGGGAGGTGGGAGAGAGAGTAGGGGAGTGTGTGAGGAGGAGAGAGGAGGTGTGAGAGGGAGAGGGGAGTGTGTGAGGGAGGGAGAGAGGAGTAGGAGAGGGAGAGGGGAGTGTGGAGAGAGAGTAGGGAGGGAGAGGGAGGGAGAGAGTAGGGGAGGGAGAGAGAGAGAGGGGAGTGTGAGAGAGAGAGAGGGGAGAGTGAGGGAGGGAGAGGAGAGAGAGTAGGGGAGGTGGAGAGAGAGGGGAGGGGAGGAGGGAGAGAGGGGAGGGGGAGGGAGGGAGAGTAGGGGAGTGTGTGAGAGGGGAGAGAGTAGGGGGAGGGAGGGGGAGGGAGAGTAGAGGGAGGTGTGGGAGAGGGAGAGAGAGGGAGTGAGGGAGAGAGAGAGTAGGGGAGTGGAGAGGGGAGAGTAGGGGGAGGTGAGAGAGAGAGGGGGAGTGTGGGGAGGAGAGTAGGGAGTGGGGGAGAGAGAGAGTAGGGGGAGTGTGTGAGAGGGAGAGAGAGTGGGGGTGTGTGGGGAGGAGAGTGGGGTGTGAGGAGGTGGGGAGTGTGTGGAGAGGAAAGTGGGGGAGTGGGGAGAGAGAGTGGGGGTGTGTGAGGGGGAGAGAGAGGAGTGGGGAGTGTGTGGGAGAGAGTAGGGGTGTGAGAGAGAGAGTGGGGGTGTGTGAGGAGGGAGAGGGGGGTGTGTGAGGAGGGAGAATGTAGGGGGTGTGTGAGAGGAGAGGAGAAAGGTGTGTGTGGAGAGAGGGAGAGTGTGTGAGAGAGGAGAGAGAGTGGGGGGTGTGTGGAGAGGAGAGTGGGGGAGTGTGGGGGAGGAATGGGGAGTGTGTGAGAGAGTGGGGGTGTGTGAGAGAGGGAGGGGGAATAGGGGGTGTGTGAGAGGAGAGGGAGAGTGGGGGAGTGTGGGGGGAGAGTGGGGGAGTGGAGTGGGGGAGTGTGGGGAGAGTAGGGGGAGTGTGTGTGGGGGGGAGGGTGGGGGGTGTGTGAGGGAGGAGGGGGGAGTGTGGGAGGGAGAGTAGGGGAGTGTGTGAGGAGAGGGAGAGTGGGGAGTGTGTGGGAGAGAGAGTGGGGAGTGTGTGGGAGAGGGTGGGGAGGTGTGAGGGGGAGGGTAGGGGAGTGTGTGAGGGAGGGTAGGGGGGGGTGTGTGGGGAGGAGGGTAGGGGAGTGTGGGGAGGAGAGTAGGGGAGTGTGAGGGAGGGAGGTAGGGGAGGGTGTGAGAGAGGGAGAGTGGGGAGTGTGGGGAGGGAGAAGTGGGAGAGTGTGTGGGGAGGGGAGAGTGGGGGAGTGTGAGAGGAGGGAGAGTGGGAGGTGTGTGGGGAGGAGGGAGTAGGGGAGTGTGTGGGAGAGAGTAGGGGAGTGTGTGGGGAGGGAAGTGGGGAGTGTGTGAGAGAGAGTAGGGGAGTGTGAGGAGAGAGTAGGAGGTGTGTGGGAGGGGGAGAGTAGGGAGTGTGGGGAGGGAGAGTGGGGTGTGTGAGGGAGAGGTAGAGTGTGAGGGAGAGTGGAGGTGTGGGGAGGGAGGCGGGGGAGTGTGGGGAGAGAGTGGGGGTGTGTGGGGAGGGAGGTGGGGGGTGTGTGGGGAGGGGGGGTGGGGGTGTGTGGGGAGGTGGGGGAGTGTGGGGGAGGGGAGTGGGGAGGGGGAGAGTGTGTGGGGGAGGGGAGGAGTGGGGAGAGTGTGAGAGAGAGGGAGAGTAGGGGGTGTGAGGGAGGAGAGTAGGGTGTGGGAGGGAGAGTGGGGGTGGGGGGAGGGGGGTGTGGGAGGAGAGTGGGGGTGTGGGAGGGAGAGTGGGGGTGTGTGGGAGGAGAGGGGAGTAGGGGGGTGTGTGAGAGAGGGGTGTAGGGGAGTGTGGGGGGGAGGGAGAGTGGGAGGTGTGTGGGGAGGGAGTGGGGGGTGGGGAGGGAGAGTGGGGGGTGTGTGAGGGAGGTAGGGGAGTGTGAGGGAGGGAGTGGGAGGTGTGTGGGGAGGAGAGTAGGGGAGTGTGAGGGAGGGAGGAGAGTGTGTGAGGGGAGAGAGTGGGGGTGTGTGGGGAGAGGTGGGGTGTGTGAGAGAGAGAGGGGGGTGTGGGGAGAGTGAGGTGTGTGAGGGAGGGAGATGAGGTGTGAGAGAGGGGGTGTGGGGAGGGAGAGTAGGAAGTGTGTGGGAGGGAGTGGGGAGTGTGAGGGAGGGAGAGTAGGGGGGAGTGTGGGGGGAGGAGAAGGGGTGTGTGAGAGGGAGGTAGGGGTGTGAGGGAGGGGGAGAGTGGGAGGTGTGTGGGGAGGGGAAGTGGGGAGTGTGAGGGAGGGGGAGAGTAGGGGTGTGTGAGGGAAGAGTAGGGGGTGTGTGAGAGAGAGTAGGTGTGAGAGGAGAGTGGGGGTGTGTGAGAGAGTGGGGAGTGTGGGGAGAGAGAGGTAGGGGGTGTGGGGAGGGAGAGTAGGGGATGTGAGAGAGAGGGAGAGTGGGTTTGAGGGGAGGAAGTGGGAGAGAGTGTGGAGTGGGGAGTGTGGGGGGAGGAGGTAGGGGGGAGTGTGTGGGGGGAGGGAGAGTGTGGGGAGGTGGGGGGTGTGTGGGGAGGAGGGAGAGGGGGTGTGTGGAGAGAGTGGGGGAGTGTGGGGAGAGGGGGAGTGTGAGGGAGGGAGGTAGGGGGGTGTGGGAGAGAGGAGGTAGGGGAGTGTGGGGAGAGAGTAGAGGTGTGTGGGAGGAGAGAGGGTGGTGTGGGAGGAGGTGGGGGTGTGTGGGGAGAGGGAGGTTGGGAGTGTGTGAGAGAGAGAGAGTAGGGGAGTGTGTGAGAGAGTAGGGGGTGTGGAGGGAGGGAGGTGGGGAGTGTGTGAGGAGAGGGAGGTGGGGGAGAGAGTAGGGGGTGTGTGAGAGGGAGGGAGTGGGAGAGGTGTGGGAGGGAGGGGGTGTGGGGAGGGAGGAGGAGGTGAGGAGGAGAGTAGGGGGGGTGTGTGAGGGAGGAGGAGGAGGTGTGGGGAGGAGATGGGGAGGTGTGAGAGAGAGAGGGAGGTGGGGAGTGTGTGGGAGAGGAGGAGAGAGGAGAGTGTGGGGAGGGGAGGGGTGGGGAGTGTGTGGGGGAGGGAGAAAGTGGGGGTGTTTGGGGGAGGGAGGAGTGGGGAGTGTGTGGGAGGGAGGTAGGGGGGGTGTGTGAGGGAGGGAGAGTAGGGGGTGTGTGAGGAGGGAGAGTAGGGGAGTGTGGAGGAGAGGAGGGGGAGTGTGGGGAGGGAGGTGGGGGTGTGTGGGGAGGTAGGGGAGTGTGTGGGGAGGAGGTAGGGAGTGTGTGGGAGGGAGAGTAGGGGAGTGTGTGAGAGAGGGAGAGTGGGGAGGTGTGTGAGAGGGAGGGTAGGGGGTGTGTGAGAGAGTAGGGGGTGTGTGGGGAGGGAGAGTGGGGAGTGTGGGGGAGAGGGAGAGAGTAGGGGTGTGTGAGAGAGAGAGTAGGGGGTGTGTGGGGAGGGGGGAGAGTGGGGGTGTGTGGGGAGGGAGAGTAGGGGGTGTGGGAGGGAGTGGGGGTGTGGGATCCAAGGAATGTGAGGGAGGAGGTAGGGAGTGTGTGGGGAGGGAGGTAGGGGTGGGGAGGGGAGAGTAGAGGAGTGTGGGAGGGAGAATCAAGGAATGGGGAGGGAGAGGTAAGAGAGGACAAGTGAGAGATAAATACCGTAGTCAGCCAGCCAGTCGTTGTCACTCCAGTAGAATGGAGAAGTCACGTGACTGATGTTGTAGAGGGGAGGCGTCACTTGGCCGTAGTGCTTAATGTTGCCCAAGACACCGTAATTGTACATAGTGAAGTTACCTACAACACGACGTTAGTTTGAATAGATTAAAATGTTGCTTTAACTCTCCTCGTAAGCTAGACTCTGAATATGTCAGTTGTGAATTGTTTATGCGATAGTAAAAGCTTTGAAAATACCTCAAGGGAATCGCATGAATTGGTCATAATAACTAACTAAAAACAAGTGACGAATAATCAAAAATAGAAGTTATAATGTAGACTTTGTAGATAAATTCAAATGAGAAGATAAATAATAAATTCAAATATATAAGATAGAAATAACTAAAGAATAAGTAGATATAAGAAATAGAAGCTTAAGGTCAAGATATAACCCTCAGAGGACGATGCTCTAAGGTTTAGTAAGATGTACTGGAGTTAACAAGCTGGCCGTAGTGGTTGACGGTGTGAACAGAGGTGCCTGCTGGGGTGTGGGCCAGGATAGACGGTAGCCATTCCTGTTGATGATGATGACGATGATGATAGTATAGAGATGATGGTAGTAGTGGTGGTGATGGTAGTGTAGGTGATGATGTTGGTGGTGTTAGTAGTGATGTTATAATTGCTATAATAATAATAATAATAATAATAATAATAATAATAATAATAATAATAATAACAATAATAATAATGACAAAAACATTCCAACAACTGATAGAAGAAATGGTTTGAAAAGTATATATACCTTATCGAGCTCTGTTGGGTCAGGACCACAGAGCAAAAAGAGAATGTTATAGCAGAGCTGGGCTGTAGCGTCTTCAACGTTGCAGTAGTGCTCAGCGAAGTAGTCCATCACCTTTGAGCTGGGCATGAACTCTCCCACACCCAGCAGAGTCAATACCATCTGTGCAACAATAACGTATTCAGACCATATGAAGATTATACGTACCCCAGGTTATTTCACCTGCTGACTAAATAATAACGTAACGTTACTTGGGGCCGAGGTTAGGTGAGGTTAGGTTAGGTTGGGTTAGGTTAGGTTCATGTTTTAAAATACGACCACAAACCAAAGTGAGACAAAATGTATTATATCACAGCCGGTTGAAGATATCACAGCATGTTTTTATCACAGTTGCAGATATCACAGGATGTTGGTATCATAGGCGTTGTTGATATCACAGAAACCTCTCAACAATACGAGATAAAGACGGAGGTACTCACGTCCATTTCGTTGGAGTAGGGCGCCAGTTCCTTAATGGGACTCTCGATGTTAGCCAAGTAGGCCACAGGTGCCAGGGCGGCCATCACCTTTACCTGAGACACAAAACAACACTTACTGTTATTGTCACTCAAACATCACCTGGAGGGAGATGAAAGTACTACACCAGCATTACATTATAACTCCATTAACTAGACACCTTCCCTCAGCACCAGTTAGGAGCAGGAATTAAATATAAACATTTCCATAAGTATTCTACGTTTATTGTGCCCCCTAACAGATACTAGTTAAGTCAATCCGTTGGGTGTATTCTCATGTCTTCACTTACGTGGAATGTCACTCACCAGGAGACACAGCCCATAACTCCGTCTGAAACCAAGTATTAAAAAAAACCTCTCCAAAATCAGTGACATCAGTTATAGATACTAACCCAATGAATACGATGAAACAACCCATGAGTACAATGTCCTCTTACACCAGAAAATACAGGTCACCGTATTCAAAGAGTTAAGATATCGTACTCAAGGGGTTACACGTATACTCATTTGGTTAATTTATTGTACTCTGAGGGCTGTCATCATACTCGAAGGATTAAGATGACTTGTGTATTATGTAACAGTAATTCATTATACTGTGAAGGTTGGGATCATAATGAGGTTAACTCAATTAAATATTCGCGAGTATTAAAGTTTTATTTAGAACTGAAAGTTTCAGTTCTAAATGCAGTTTCAGTCTGAAACTGCATCTCAGTAACATCATGTTTGAGAAAAAAATAACAATTGCTTTGATTTATTCTATTCTTTGTCTCTATATTGCACCTTCTATGTCAGTACAAATCACAGTACAAGGAGACGGACTGACTAAACCTGCCCCGGTAAAATAATAAACAAAGCACAAAGCTCAGGGGCCATATTTATTTTAATCTGGGATAAAGTCTTGTCTCACAACCCCAACCCGGACTCCTGAGCCCTCTTCTCCCCGAACTTAACACCCCACCTCTCCTTAGTCCTGGACCTCTAACATTAGTTCTGGACCCTAACACCCTTACCTTAGTTCTGGACCTAACACTACAGTTCTGGACCCCTAACACCCTTACCTTAGTTCTGGACCCTTCTACCTTAGTTCTGGACTATTAGTTCTGGACCCTAACCCCCTTACCTGGTTCTGGACCCCTAACTTCACCTTAGTTCTGGACCCTAACACCCCTTACCTTAGTTCTGGACCCCTAACACCCCCTTACCTTAGTTCTGGACCCCTAACACCCCTTACCTTAGTTCTGGACCCCTAACACCCCTTACCTTAGTTCTGGACCCCTAACACACCTACCTTAGTTCTGGACCCCTAACACACCTTACCTAGTTCTGACCCCTAACACCCACCTTAGTTCTGGGCCGCTAACACCCTTACCTTAGTTCTGGACCCCTAACACCCCTTACCTTAGTTCTGGACCCCTAACACCCCCTTACCTTAGTTCTGGACCCCTAACACCCCTTACCTTAGTTCTGACCCCTAACACCCCTTACCTTAGTTCTGGACCCCTAACACCCCTTACCTAGTTCTGGACCCCTAACACCCCTACCTTAGTTCTGGACCCCTAACACCCCTTACCTTAGTTCTGGACCCTAACACCCCTTACCTAGTTCTGGACCCCACACCCCTCTTACCTTAGTTCTGGACCCCTAACACCCCTTACCTTAGTTCTGGACCCCTAACACCCTCTTACCTAGTTCTGGACCCCTAACACCCCTTACCTTAGTTCTGACCCCTAACACCCCCTTACCTTAGTTCTGGACCCCTAACACCCCTTACCTTAGTTCTGGGCCGCTAACACCCCTTACCTTAGTTATGGACCCCTAACACCCCTACCTAGTTCTGGACCCCAACACCCTTACCTTAGTTCTGGACCCCTAACACCCCTTACCTTAGTTCTGGACCCCTAACACCTCTTACCTTAGTTCTGGACCGCTAACACCCCTACCTTAGTTCTGGACCCCTAACACCCTCTTACCTTAGTTCTGGACCCCTAACACCTTACCTTAGTTCTGGACCCCTAACAACCCCTTACCTTAGTTCTGACCCTAACACCCCTCTTACCTTGTTCTGGACCCCTAACACCTCTACCTTAGTTCTGGACCCCTAACACCCCTACCTTGTTCTGGGCCCCTAACACCCCCTTACCTTAGTTCTGGACCCTAACACCCTTACCTTAGTTCTGGACCCCTAATACCCCTTACCTTAGTTCTGGGCCGCTAACACCTCCTTACTTCACCCTAGGACTCCCTTATTGGTGTCAGTAAGTTGTCCTGGCACCAGTAACCAGCTGGTGATGTTAGTATCCATTATATATACACACCTTTTCGTTGTATTCCGGCTTCTTGCTCATCATGGCGAAGTAGGTGGTGGTACCCATACTGAAGCCCACGTAGCGTAGGCTGGAGACGCCCGTCGTGGCCAGGATGTAGTCGATGGCCGCCGGCAAATCCAGGAGAGCAATTTCGTCCCAGCTAAGTTTGGGAGACACGAAATCCTATCACCTCGCCTGAACCCTCTGAGGTTCATCTGAATATGGTGTATTTTAGAAGAATCATCTTTATTCTTCATCTAAATGACTAATAAATTTTGAATAATCTCTGATTCTGGCTCAAGAACATTAATTTTTATTCTCGTTTGAAATATTTTATAATTTCAGTATTAGTTTATTAAAGTGGTGACACATCGTAGGTGAGAAGGTTAATCTTTGTCCAGGTTTAAATTGGACAACGCCTCTTACGGAATGGGAGTCGAAAGCCTTACCAATTGATCTCCGAGTCACATTTAATTACTCTTTACCTAAATTCCCAGAAATGTATGTCGCTGGGAGACAGGTCGACGTGATTACGAGAGTAGGTGTTGCCTCGAGCGTTCCCCAGCCACACGTCGTAGCCTGCGTCAACCAAGATCAAAGCTGACGGAAGTAGAGGAGACGGGTCAGTTAGTATAGCAAGTGTACTTATTTACTACTTCGTGTTGAATGATTGTTGTACTGAACTAAAATCCTCAACAAATATACCATGTGTGTGTAATAAGACCATAGTACTGGTACTATATTACAAATGTCACACCACAACACAGCATCACACCACACCACACAACAATGCATTCATTTACCAAGAGCCTCGTCAGGTTGGTTCATGACCCAGTCGGCGGAGGACCCCAGAAGGCCATGCTGAAGGTACACAGGGGGCGGTCGTCAGCGTGGGGGGAAGGGCCAGATCTACCAAAGGGTATACGGTGAAGTTCTAATATGTAGCCATCCTCCGTGGTGACGGTGTGTACCTCAGCCGGGTAACCGAAGGCTTCTATCAACTCAGGCTGCACGCAAAATAATGCCAATATTTATTTGGATAACATGAAGATTAGCGCCCCTGCTTATTTCATCTCAGTATTAACCACCCTTATGCTAACCAAACGTAACTTAACTCCCTCAGGCAGCGTTAGGGTGTTTAATCATCAGGTGAAATAAGCTGGGGTGGCTAATCTTCATGTGAATCATTTGTTTATATTAGCATAAGATGTACATTAGTGTAGGTAAATTAGGTTGAGTTGCACATACAAAAAGGAAATCAGGTCGAACTACGTGTTAAAGTTAGAAAATTAGATCGGGCTGCAAGTAAAAATAACAAAAACTGTTTTCTTTTAACATAATCTGCATGCAAAATTATAACTTTCTTACATTAAGCGATAAGGTTTAGGTCTTAGTTTTACACTAAACTACAGTATAGCATTTGGTAACTGATAGTTTTATTCACTAGGCCTCAAACTAGTTGAAGTGGTGTTCAATAGATGACGCCCCAATATACACATATACACATAAAACATTAATAGAGAAAAATAAAGATGAGAGTGACCTACCAGCTCCACTAAGAACCTGGCAGGCCTTTCCATACAGTGTACCTTTAGACTAACACAACTAACACTTAACTAACACCTCAGAAAAAATGAGACTACCCTCCCAGTTACACAAGGACCCAGGGCCTCACTAACCCAAAAAAAATAATAATAAGCAGCATTATATAAATAAACCAATATTAATACAAAGGTCTGACGACCCAAGGGAGCAGAACAAAGATAAAACACCAATAGGAAAGATGAAGCGATCTGGTTGAGCCCAGATTCTTTCTACTCCTACTGTATTTCAGTTTCACCACTTTTCCTTCAACCCCTCATAACTAAAGACTCCGTACCGTACCGATGACGCTGATAGAGGTAGCCATCGTGTTATAGTTAAACACAGGTTTCTTCTCTTGGTTGTGTACATCTTACCAACACAAATAAATCAATTACGCTAGTGACAACTGACAAGTGACAAGTTGACAACGTCACCTCTGTCCGGAAAGGATACACTCAGCTCCTCAGGTTCATAGTGACACTGATTCTCGCTTAACGGGGGGGTATAGTCGGGCAGCTTGCACTTACAGTAGGCCACTTTACTGAGGTCGGGAGAACACCATGAGATCGATAAAATGCTATAGTTTCTTCGTTTTTTCCCCAAAACTCGCAATTAGCTCCATATAATTGAAGTGACACCCATCGCAGACTTCCATGGTCGGAAATGAATTTGAATTTCGAAATATGAGACCCAAAATAAAAATCGAATTTGATTGGGCCAAAAATACCGCGAATTAAACCACTAATCATTTTAATTGGTTGCCCCTCAAAAAACGTTTTTGATTGACCACGTGACGTGTACGGGAACGAATGCGCGTGATGCTTTATGCTTTATGAGACACGCAGTGTGGGAGGTGAGGTAGGCGATAATGGCAGAAGATTAATGGAAGAAAATAGAGAAAATTTTAGATACGCTATCTAAGGAGGAGGAGAAGGAAATGAAGAGACAACTGAGTTTAAGTGAGGAGTATAACTTCAGGTAAACATAGCAGGAACCTGAGGATAGCCAATGGACGAATATTAACCCTTCCTCGAGTGCAGTCACCCGGTCTGGTCCCCGAGATATGCTAGAGACTCAAAGTTTATTGAAAATGTCCAAAGGAGGGCCACCAGACTGGTGCCTGCACTGTGGCACCTCACTTATCCAGAGAGATTAGAATGCCTGCAACTGCTAGCTTATACTACAGACGGGTGTATATATTTATATCTTGGTCGAGTGTCCACCTGGGAAGATATTGGAAGCATAATGTATTGTCTAATGGTAGACCCTGCTGCCATATGGCATCACGAAAATTGTGACCAAGACCAAGTTTGCAGATCTGACTTTTCCTCATTTACACACAATTGCAGGATCTCAATTGTTTTTCTTACTTTGAGAACACAACATACATACAATATATTGTTTCTCACTTGAGTTTCTTTAATTTTTATATTTATTATTATTATTATTATTATTATTATTATTATTATTATTATTATTATTATTATTAATACTAGTGTTATTATTATTATCATCATTATTATATTTTAAATTGTATATTCTTTATTATAAAATTTATTTACTATGAATTATTATTATTATTATTATTATTATTATTGAAAACGCCTTAGTTAAGGACGTTCAGGTGACGGACAAGTCGAAGGGAATGATTGAAACCCGCGTTTTGATGCATTCAATATTTATTGATGTGGTCAAAACCTGCAGAGAACAAGCCGTTCATTAGTATTACATGGTGATCTATCTGATACATAATTAGTTAGTCTCACAATTTATCTTAATTATAATTTATTATTGAGCATAGTGACATGATACAAAGTTCATAACTCTATTAATCTTAGTTACACTTCATTCTGTGTTGTCTTATTGCTCCAGATAAGGCAGGAACGAGTAGGCATAATTAGTCCACAATATTTCAGTACTGAGGGGTATGTCATCACTTTGGCTGTACTTACAAGTGCGGGTCAATGAGAACCAGTATGGTATTCCAAGGGACAATAGTACTGTGTCAATTGTTCCAGCACAAAACTCGGCCAGGATTGGGAGTTGGTGTTCACCACTGCTAGCAGAGGGCTGGTCCTCACAGCATCACTCGAGGGGGCGATCTGCATCATGGAGTCCAGGCGTCCACGCCACCCTCTAAACCATACACTCAGCAGAATCAGGACCTCTCATGGTGAACACCGCCCACCCCCTAATGTTTGTTCGGGTAAGGCAGCAAACGCCAGCACTTGACGCTAGCACTGACGCCAGCGGCGATAACACTCCCGGTGGTAAACACCGCCCCCCAGCCGCCACATCTGGCGAGGTCACAGGTCGCGTGTAGGGCATCACTGAGAGGGCGATCTGCGTCATGGGAGCCACTCCACCCTTTAAACCATACATTCAGCAGAATCAGGACCTCTTGTCCGTAAACACCGCCCGCCCCCTAATGTTTGTTTGGGTAAGGCAGCAAACACCAGCACTGACGCCAGTGGCGATAACACTCCCGGTGGTAACACCGCGCCCCCAGCCGCCATCTGGCGAGGTCACACGCCGCGTGGGGGCACGTGGTCGCAGACTGAGAGATCTAATGTTTGTTCAGGCAAGGCAGCAAACGCCAGCACTGACGCCAGCGATAATAAGCCAGTGGCGATAATAATAATTATTATTATTACATTTTCGTCCCCCAGGCCGCGATGTGGGTCAGTGACCTGTGCCCGGGTGAGCTAATCCCCGTAAAAGGGGACCGTAAAAGGGGACCGGTGGTAGAAGCGGTACCATTCTTGCCTCGCAAGCGAGATGTCACGGGTTCGATTCCCGGGCCGGTGGAAGTTGTTTGGACTTACTTCCTAGCCCCCATTAGTCCCTGTTCACCTAGCAGTAGAGTAGGTACCTGTTGTAAGTCGAAAGTTGCGAATTCGTATACAGGGAAAGTTGTTGAGCTTCCAATAACTTGATGACATAAACCACTGACTCTTCAGGCTTCTACGCCCTTGACTCTTCGACTTACGCCCTTAACACATGAGACATAAGGGCAAGCATGAACTTAGCATGCTTCCCTGTTGCGCTGTAAACGCTTCTGCGCCACCTACACAAGAATGTAGGTGCCCACAATAATAAAAAAAAAAAATCCCCGTAAAAAAAATACATGGAGCTGGCGGACGCTCGCCCCACAAGGGGTCACAGCTCAAGGTTGAAGAAGCCACACGTCCAAAAACTGTGAGGGCAAACTTTTTCGGAGGAAATTGTAAACTCTTGGAACAGCCCGCCAGAGAGTATAGTGACGGCACCGAGTGTGAGCTCTTTCAAGACCAGACTTGACCAGCACTGGAGCAGGTTCAGATACATTCAGGAATCAGGAGTCAGTGCATGCCCAGTACTGTACTTGCCAACAGTGTTTAACAGAGACGACCGACCTTCCAAGTGGCTAACGAGCCGATCAATGGCGAAGAGGATAAAAGTAAAAGTTTAGTTTTGGTCATCCCTGTATTTAGATATCCAACCTAACCAAGCCACAGGTTATGTGTATTCTCTTCCATTTTGTGTTCGGTATCACGCAAATAGTATCTCCAGAAATTTTGGTTCAAATCCATAAGTTATTTTTGGTACTGTCTTCTCCACCTTTAGGGTAAGTACACAAAGAAAGCAGGTTATCCTCTTGCCGGTTTCCAGCACCGACCAGCGCCGGTAGTCGGACACAGATGACGCAGGTCTATCTGCTGTCGTACAATAAAGTGTCCAGGTCGTCGTCTGACGAAGATTTCTTTGTGCTCGATAGTGTGTATGCAAAAATCGGAAGGAAAATAACTGGAATACATGAAATCAATCGCAGTAGAGGAAATTTTGGTGAATATCACCATCTTTTTTAGTGACCTAAAAAAGAACCCAAGTAGGTTCTTTTCAATACATGAGAATGGCTTGGGGAAACATTTTACTATATTTTAAAGAAGATTGAGCATCGTTTGACGAAGACATGGTGTAACTAGCACACTGCACAACTAGGCCCGCTTTAACAACCCGCAAGGCCAAACAAGAAAATGATGTTTTGTTCATTCCGGTAAACTACAGCTAAGGTAATATTTTCACTCTTGTCTGTGTACATAACAGAAGCACCGAATGTAAACAAAGTTTACTGAATGTTTGAACTTCAATTGTGTACATATGAAAATTATCGAACCACCTTGAGACCCTGCAATTGTGTGCAAATGAGGCAGAAAGTCAGATCAGCAACCTGAGACTTAATCCCAATTTTTGTGATGCCATATGGCAGCAGGGTCTTCCATTAGATAACATATTATACTTCCAATATCTTCCCAGGCGGTAGTACCTCCCTGTTTGATAGCTGCCTACTAGTGGCGGTGGTGGTTATGACTCCTTGCCTGTGTGTTTGTTTGTGCCTGTAGTGTATCATGAGGCATAGGTAAAAAAGGAAGGATTACTTTTTTTAATATAACTACTCACCGTAGTCAGGTTGGCCCCCCAGTGGTCAGACTGAAATGGGAGCCCGGGCAGACACAACGCCCCGGCCAAAACTGCTGCCAATACCACTAGCTTCATTCTGCCACTTTCCTCACCTGGCGATCACCACAAGAGTGGCTCGGTCTGGCCTTCAGTGATGCTTATATTACCTTGGTTGAGCAGAGGGGTGAGGGCGGGAGAACCTTGGGTGTCATCCCATGAGGGGTTATATCCAGTGGTGAGAGCTATTAGCAGTCAGGTCTCCATAGTTGCAGGTAACTTATCAACCACGGGACAGTATTTAATTATTTTCCTTCAAGCAAACAGGCGAGAAATAAGTCCAATAGGTGATTTTTTTATATAAGTAAGTTTGGTTAGTAATGGAGCAAATCTAGACCGTTTGGTCAAAATCTGGTTATATAATTGATAAATGTATATATAACCATGTTATCTCAGTTGGGGTTTTAGGAATTCGGTAGAGGGTTCTAGACCTTCACGTTATGGGTTGTCATCTTGTTAGTATTGTACTTCCAGTACCATGGACTTTTTTTGCCCTCCCTCCCCTGCCATCCTGTGAGGGTTTTAGGGATATACTGTACAGTAAGTCCTGTGTGCATGGATCTGTCTTTGCGTTTGGCACACCTTTAAGGCCTTACTTATTATTTGAGGTGAGATTGATAAGTAAGTTTCATTTTTGTATGTGGTGAACTACAGAATTGACATAAGGCTGTCCTTACAACGAGACCTATACTGAAACTGAGAATTTACGTTGACAAGTGATATTCATTGCGATCGGTTGATTTATTGATTGATTTTTTACGGGTAGCCTATTAGTCCACCCTGAACAGGTCACTGACCCACATCGGGGCCTGGGCAAAAATATAATGATAATGATAATAATTAATAACAATAAATAAAATAATAAACAAATAACAAATAATAATAATTATACATAAATACAAATTTGAAAAAAAAATCAAGAGTGAGAAACGATATAATATGTATGTTGTGTTGTCAATAATAAGAGAAACAATTGAGACCCTGCAATTGTGTGTAAATGAGGCAGAGAGTCAGATCAGCAACCTGGGAGTTGATTACAATTTTTGTGATGCCATATGGCAGCAGGGTCTGCCATTAAACAACACATTTTGCTTCCAATATCTTCCCAGGCGGTAGTACCTCCCTGTTTGATAGCTGCCTACTACCTACTACTAGCCCCCTGGTCATGATATTTATGAACCATTTGGGATTTTTGCAATAAACTCCTGCTGGTGCGGTTATACTATTGGTGCGCAGTCACTCCCGATATAAATCAAACATTGCGTCAATAAGGATTTGAATTCAGGACCAAAGGACTGCCACCCCAGGAAGAATGTTACCGTTTTCTTACCCATTACACAACTTAAGTTATGTCATTACATTTCCATTGGTTGAAGTACAACCTCGTTTCACCGACAGCGATAGTTCTACACTCCTTGAGATCTGATTGAAAATTTCCCACACACATGCATCTGGCCGGCCACACGGACCTTGAAATAGAACTTATAGCCTTTCCAACTAGCAACTGCTATGGAGGCTGTGGTAAAGAAATTTTACAAATTTAGGTTTTAGACATTGGTCGAGTTGTACAAATAACCATGGCTGTTGAAGCATCTCAACAAAGAAAATTTTTTTTTGTCGTGTTTGTCGTCTTCCTTTATTAACTTTTTTCACACACCCTTAGTTCAAGAACATTATACAATATAATAAGTCGAGGTGCATTTCTTAAGTTTGTATTTTATTACTTTGTGTTTATGTCCCGTCACGACTGTGGGATACGCCTGTATAGCAGTGTTGTTATCCATACACCCTTAAGTCTGTACATCCATGCCTACGACTACAACTTGGCAATGAAGATTAACCCTATCGATACAAACTTGTCATTTTTTATTAATATCTATATAACACTGGTTTGACATTTCATATCACACTTCCCGACAACTGAGAGCCACCTTGAACCGTGCATGCACGTTTCGTCTTCTTTTCGTAAAATTTATTACATCCCAAGTCATACCACCAACGGCAACACGATTAAAAAAAAAGAGTTGTGTAACCTACTTGAGAGTGGTCTAATTATGAGTGTTAGGAGGTATAAACGCTGGTTAACATAACATTGTCTTGCTTAGGTGAGAATGTTGACAGCTGACGTCTCTTCTCTATCGCTGGCTAGGCGTTCCCTGTGTTAGTTTCAGACCACCTGTTGCTGACGCTTCCTATTTCTTTCTCTGTTGATATTTATTGTTTTCGTCCATAGGCACTACCAAAGGGCAAAATATTTAAGTGCGCTCCTATGCTTTATATCTCACGCCACTAAAATGTTTTCTTTGCTACTTATATTTCATTTTATGCATGTCTCGTCACTGTCCTCTTCTACCTCCTCACAGTCTGTATGTTCTTGTTGTGATACATTAGTGTCACTGTTTGTGTTACCATTAGACTCGCTTTCATAATTTTCATCTTCACTTTCATCGTCATTATTGCTGTCAGTGCATGTCACGTAACTCTGTACCGGAACACAGTCTGCAAAAATGGTCTTGTGATTCACGGATCACAGTCTACAAAAAGGTCTTGTGATGCATAGCTGTCACTTTTTGTATTATGAGTATACTGTACTCAGTTTCATCTATTTCAAGCTCACTTTCACCGTCATTATCATCGTCAATGCATGCCACATTGTTTTAACTCGCCATAGACGGCAAAAAGATCTTCGGATGCTTTGTAACACTAAAAAGTTATTCTGTGCATTCAAAGTGTTAGTGTCATTATGATAATCACTTTCATCATGCTGTGAGTCACTTTCATTGTCGACACGTAAGTCATCGTAGTCTTTAAAAAGATCTTCCGATGGTTCATAACGACGTTATGAACCATCGGATGTATGGTTTTTTCTGCAATCATGCACGTCACCTGCACCATCTCCAGTTGCACTTGTATCACCATAATCAACACTAAATTCACTGGGGCGTCCACGTGAGCACTGGCGTCAAACACAAGCTCAGGAATAATGGGCTCCAGAACCCACACCAGAAGGCCTGGCCTCACTCGAGTCTTGCTCTAATATCGGGCAGATATTGCACAGCACTTCTCACACCCGTGGAATACGAATGACGTCAAAGTTACGCCGAAAAGTTATAAAAAAAAATAGCAGTAGAACGTAAACTTAACCTCCTGATGCTAAAATACGTGCCAGAACTAAGGCCGGGCATCCAATTTGGCCGAGATCCATGTCCGTGTCCGTAGCCGTGTCAGTGTATCCACGAGGTAAGCATCCATATATCCGTGAAAACTACGTATGTGAGGTGTGTTTTTTTCTCAGAAAGTCAAAGCAAGGCAATATGTCCCGACGTCTGTGTCAAGAACTAGAAGAGTTTGAGGTGTGTTTTTTTCTAGAAAGTCAAAGCAAGGCAATATGTCCCGACGTCTGTGTCAAGAACTAGAAGAGTTTGAGGTGTGTTTTTTTTCTCAGAAAGTCAAAGCAAGGCAATATGTCCCGACGTCTGTGTCAAGAACTAGAAGAGTTTGAGGTGTGTTTTTTTTCTCAGAAAGTCAAAGCAAGGCAATATGTCCCGACGTCTGCGTCAAGAACTAGAAGAGTAGGGCCACTTCCTTCTGATGGCCGGTATTATCCGTCACAGAGGCCATCATGATGCTAAAAAAAGAAAACATAGGTGGTGGGTCTGTGGGGTTTTTGGGATGTTTGGTTCTCACTCAGGATGGGATGGAGAAAGGAAACTCACAATGTGCTCTCTGTATACATGTTGTATTGGATGTACAATGCAGCTTGGTGCTGGGAAGGCAGCATGGTTACAAGCGTGATGTAGAGAGAGCTGGTTGGTGAGGGTGCTCAGAGGAAGACAGCTTGTGGGTCGCCATGCTCGCCGGCAGGAGCGAGGGCCGCCAGGCAGCGGCGGAGGAGGTGGTGTAGCTTGCTACGGCTGTAGCTAGAAGAAGAGAGTTGGTTGGTGAGGATACTCAGAGGACAGCTTGTGGGTCGCCATGCTCGCCGGCGGGAGCGAGGACCGCCAGGCAGGCGGAGGAGGAGGAGGTGTTGCTGGCTGGTTGGTGTAGGCAGAAAAGAGAGAGATCACCACGAGGTCAGGTCTTAAATAGCGGGGGGTAGGCGTGGCTTAGTAGTTGACCTCCGTGATGTATGGCGGCGCTGGTTGACCCAGACCACGAGGCATACACTGGGGAATTCGCGGGGTCGGCTACGCAGCGACAAGCAGCGTTTGTAGGGGAGAAATCCACTACAATACTCCCTCCTTCCCTCCAGGCGGTGTAGGAGACTTGTTGTCTGCAGGTGTTGCATAGCACATGTGAGGCAGAACGGGCGGTGCATGCCTCATGTGAGACAATGGCGATGGCGTGGATGAGCCGGCCGCTAGAGACAACTGTCTAGATACACAATATCTGTGGGAGTAGAGAGGGAGAAAAAGGGTGTGTGGAGGCGATGAATGTTGTGCTTCCCTCACGTCAGGTACAGAGTTGTCAGATGCGCCTGCTGGGGTGTGTGGGCCTGGGTCAGGAGCAGGGGCTGCGTCAGCAGAAGCGGATTAGGGCTCGTGACAGCAGCTGGGTCCAGGACAGTAGCAGGGAGTACCTGAGGGAGAAAAGAGGGGTGTGTGGGTCCGCACTCTGGTGCATGGGCCGCGTCGGGAGCAGGGGCTGCATCAGGAGAAGCGGCAGGGGGTACTGCTGGGCCGGGGGCGGCGTCTGAGGCAGGACGGGTGTGTTGGGGTCGGTAGGACGTGGTGCTTGGGGCAGGAATAGGAGCGGCTGCCTGCTTGGAGTAGCAGAGCTGCTCTAGGGTGTCTAACCTGCGGTTTAGAGACAGAAGCTGTAGAGCCGATGAGAGCTGCTTCTGTGTGGATAAGCCAGTCTTCCATGTTGCTTGAAGACTGGGAGCGTGATCTGGTTCTCCTCCATCCTGTGTGAGTGCGAATCTCCGGGGGTCACCATTTGTGGGGTACGGGATGTTTGGTTCTCACTCAGGATGGGATGGAGAAAGGAAACTCACAATGTGCTCTCTGTATACATGTTGTATTGGATGTACAATGCAGCTTGGTGCTGGGAAGGCAGCATGGTTACAAGCGTGATGTAGAGAGAGCTGGTTGGTGAGGGTGCTCAGAGGAG